AATTTTCTCTTTCGTGTTTCTCTTCTGATCATTCACCAATCTTAGAGGCTGCACAAGGTTCCCCAGGATAATTCTTGTGCAGATATGGGTAACTTTTTGCCCACTAAAGAAAGTAGGAGTATACTTGAAATAGAGTTTGATTTCCCATCTTGAAAAAATAAAACCAAAACATTAATATAAATATTTCATATTTTGATATTTGATAGTATAATTATCATTGAAAATTATACTACACTACTTATTTAACCAATGCTTTCTGAGGACCTACTTTATTCCTGGAAATGACTTCAGTGCTCTGGAGAAAATGGCAATCAAGTACTCGACATAATTCCTATGCTCGTAGAATTAACAATCTAATGAATGAGATACTCATTAAGCAAACAGTGATAAAAATAACATATCAATAATAAAAATACTGGATGGGCTTTGAAACCTTAAACTATGGGGATAGAGTGCGAAAGTAAAATTTGAGCAGAGATCAGATGAAAAAGAGGAGAGGAGCTTTTCAGGCAGAGAGGACAACATGTATCTCAGTGTTAGGAGGAAACATGTTATGCATGAGTTTTAGAAATTCAGAGAGCAAAGGAGATGAAGGTGTGGCAAGAGACCTGAGAAGCAGATAAGGGATAGCTGACCTTGTGGCCCATGCAGAGGATTTTGTCACCATCCTAGAAATGTTTGGAAACCATTGGTTGGATTTATGTAAAAGAGTCAGAGTGATCAGATTTGAGTTTCAATAACTGGTTCCAACTGGCTGCAAATGGAAATACTTCCCTATCATGCTTCAGGGAGAAGTAGAAGGGACCATAGGGGCTGCAGGTAGACTCTTGCAATTAAGAAGGTTACAAACAGTTCAACAAAAAGTCATGGTAATTTTGAACAACATGAATGAAGGTGGTTGGGATGCAGGGGTGGGCAAACTTTTTGTCTCGAGAGCCACAATGGGTTCTTAAACTGGACCCGGAGGGCCGGAACAAAAGCATGGATGGAGTGTTTGTGTGAACTAATACATGTTAACACTGCTGCTGGTGAAGGAGCGGAGGGGAGAGCAAGAGAACCCTCCGCTCTTTCAGCTCCGCGGGCCGGATAGAACAGCCGAACGGGCCAGATCCGGCCCGCGGGCCGTAGTTTGCCCATGGCTGGATAGAGAGAAGTGAATTGATATAAGAAATATTTTTGAGGTAAAATGACAGGAATTAGAACCACTTTGAAATGGTGCCATTGGGGGTGGGGAGAAGGAGACTGCAAGTATGCCTCAGTTTGGTGTTGGCACATTTACGGAGATAGGGAATTATGGGGGAATTTTTATGAGTTCAGTTGTAGACCTTTAAAGTTCAACCTGTTTTAAACGTTGAAAGGGAGAGTCAACTGTGCTGTTAGTTTTATGGGTCTGCATGGGTCAAAGAGTAATAGCTACACTATAAGTGTATCTAGAAACGTACAGCTTCCCAATTATGCGTGTTCTTCATGTCCCTTCACAAAGCGGATATTCTTCTCTAGGACACTGAAATCTCTCCCAAGAACCTTCGTGTTTTCTTAAACAATTTTACTCTAGATTGTTCTGCTAAGACAGTTAATAACACCAATCTATCATTGGTATCCTCTTGCCCTCCTCAGACTGTAGACTTCTTCACCGCCTCTCTCATAGAGTAGAGAATATTATTAACTTTGTAATTCTTAGCATGAAAATTGATTTAGTGTGATTGATTTGAAGTGAAATTGTCACTGCAAAGTTATTATGCCTACTCATAGAATCCTTCGCTTTTAAGGCCATGCAGTATGGTTTCTCCAGTACCTGAAATCACCATGAAAATTTTTCCATAATTATACATTTGCAACCGGTTTTTGTTTTGTTAATCCTCACCTGAGGATATTTTTTTCCATTGATTTTTAGAGAGAGTAGAAGGGAGGGAAGGGAAGAAAGAGATAAAGAGAAACATCAATAGGAGAGAGACACATTGATTGTTTGCATCCCACATGTACCCTGATGGGGGCTGGGGATCTACTGGGGAAGGGAATCCATTGGGGCCAGGGATCAAACCTGCAGCCCATGTGTGTGTCCTTGATCAAGGGAACTGACCCCGCAACTCATTGGTGCACAGGCCTATTCCCTAATCACTGAGAAACACCGGACAGGTCTGCAGCCACTTTTTAAGTGACACATATGTAGACTCTGTTTGTCACACATGATAGATAGTAAATGTTGCATTACATCTTTAATTTGAAGGGAAGTAAAGAAGAAAAGGGAGGATCAGCAGGCACCATTTTCACTGAGCAAACAATCTGTCTTGCTTTATTGACATATCATGTACAAGTTCTAGTCATGCTTTTTTTTTTCAGGCTAAAGTGAACCCTCTCATGCAGGATGAGGATGCTTTAAATTATAATTAGTCAAGAAACCTAGTTATGAAGAACAGCTAGGTGAGTAGATGATAACAATGTCTGTAATCGTTCAGAAAAAAATATTATAAAAGTCCATTAGCCAATGCATCACACATAAACAAGCTTTGAAATAAAACTGCATGATGTAGGGGTGTTTAATGTATTTTTTTAAAATTAGGAAAAGCAAAGGACATGTGAACAATACACAGTAATCCTAGTATATAACTGACTGCTAGAGGGAATAGTATCTAAAAATGCCAAGCTGCCTCCTTATTTTAGGATCGTTCATTCATTCCATAGCCTGCAGTTTGTGTCCACTGATAAGTATCTGCTCAGGCTTGCCTATTCTTTTAAGCAGATGACTTTCGTCATAAAACTATGCCCTGTGTTACAGTATTTTTATTTGATTTTCCTTAAGACTATGTAAGAGTCAAGTTAAAAAAAAGTTAGATCCCTCAATAGGCATTATTTAGGAGGGAAAAAAAAGAGGCAATGGGAAATGAGTATGTATCCATGTAAAAGCAAATATGACCTTCTGTAGGAAATGTCACTGTTTCTCAAGTGTGACAAGAATAATATATCTTGGCAGTTGAAACATGCTATTCACCTGAGGCCTGTCAATCATCCTGATTTTGAAAGACAGGATTTATGAATTGTCAACACGTCTTTTAGGCGAGAACCCAGTGTTCATCAAGAGCAAAACTAAAGCAAATGTTCAAATAAATGGAAAGTCGAAACACTGCCTGGTCATTCTACACATAATCTAGAGTTCATGTGTGATCATAATTGTAGCATGTGAGATATGGGTGACAAACTACATGGCTATTACTGTGCTTCTCAAGTGGATCAATGGCTTGTGTTTTTCCTGCGATCCATATAAAGCAAAGCATTTGTCATTGGGCAACCCCTATAAATGCAACTCTCTAATACTGCAAGCGCTGACAGCCTTGTAGGCGATTTCAGCAGGGAAGCCAGGACTAAACATACTGAACTACATTAGAGTTGGTCCCTGGAGGACAGAATTCAGCCTCATTGGCAAGGGCACTGGAAGAGTTCCATTTGACTCCTCATTAAACCTCTCCTAGGGACTGAAGCTCTGGCTCCGTGGCTGCTACTGCTCCTCTTTCTACAGGAGAGCTAGTGTGAACGACACAGGCATATTCGTTTTCAGATATTTAGGCAGTTGTTGCTTTGCCTAACAAAAATAAAGCCTCCTACAGATTTTTAAAACGATCTTCCAGCCTCTTGATCATTAAAAACCTTATTATTATTTCCAGAGGAAATAGCTTTATTTCAGCTTGTGAGGATTCATGTTAAACGCCTGTCTTAGGACATATACAATAAAAGGTTCTGCTTTTCTGCATTTATCTGTTCTCTGAGAAACAGCATTCTGAGGAAAATACATTGAGTGGCCAGATTATTATGACCACCCCATCAGTACTTCATTGACACTTCCAAAATACTGAATATTGAAAACTTCCTAAGCAAATACTCTCAAGGTTTTATTATTATTATTATTATTTGCATTATTTGCATATTTGCATATTTGCATTATTTTATTATTATTATTATTTGCATAACTAATTCACTTCATTGTACTGATACATAATAATCTGGCCACTCAGTATAGTTGGTGATAACAACCTCAGCCTTCTTTACCTACCAGAATTGCTGGGATAATGAAATCAGAACAAACATTTTGAAGCAGTTGGTGAAGCACACATTATTACGTGCACTGCCAATGCCTGTTCTTATTGATTTGGAATCTTGAAAATAGCATAGCACGGTTTAGCATACTTTGGAAGTACTGCATTGGAAATGCTGATGATACAGCATTTGCATTCCTCTGGGAGTCTCTCCTAGGAAGATTCACAAGACTGTTTCTGTTTTAAGTGCAATAAAAACAAACAAAACTATTTTGTCTAGCAAGAGCTGTGTAAAATACCTTACGATGGAGAGAAAATTTTCTGTGGTTATGAAATAATACCTACAGTCTTTGGCCATCTAATCACAGTGGTACTTAATGGAGTATTAATAATGCAAATTAATGAAGAATGCTTTACTGCTTACTGTTTACTGTTCATGTTTCCCCAAAGTGCTCCATATGTACATGTGTATAAAGGCATAAGAAGCTAAGCAAATTCTGAAAGAAGTGATGAAGAAAAAATAGAAAGACAACATAGCAAAATATAATCATATAAAAATATGCATCACGGTGAAAGTTCTTTTTGCATTTACAAGATAAATGGTATCCAAGGGTGGCCCTTGAAATTTACAAGAACTCCTGATTCCAAATGGAAAATGTGTATAATTGTGCTATATACTTCTTGGTGAGTGTGGGATGGAGAGTAGGAGAGTGTTGAAATGGGATAGGGAGAATGGAAGAGAAAAGGGTTGTATTTTCTCTCTCTCTCTCTCTCTCTCTCTCTCTCTCTCTCTCTCTCTCTCTCACACACACACACACACACACACACACACACACACACACACACCATGCACTCACTCCATAGCTAGTCACAACCACCACTCCCTTTCAGGAGTTATTACTGGTCCTTTATAACCACGACTGAGAGCAGATGTGGGGAGGTTGAGAGGGGCCTGGGATCTGGTCAGGAGTTGGTCCAGAGAAGTCAGAAACCGCACACAACTCCCACATCTGAGACTGTGGAAGGGGTTGGGGCGGAGCCTGGCGAGGGGCTGTCCAGCGATTAGAGGCAGCGGGCGGACCCTGCTGGGAGGGCTGGGAGGCTGCTGTCACTTTACGAATCCGCAGCCCAGAGAATATTGCCGCTGCCGGAGAGCCTGGCGAGCCGGGACAGGGTCCCCGCCTCTCGCTCGCCACGCGGACCCGCGCCTCCTCTGGCAGCGGCGGCGGTGGCGGCAGAGCCTCACCCACTCCCATCCCCACCCTCTCCATCCTTCGCTGCTAAAGAACAGCCGCGCCTGGCACGTTCCTGGAGGACCGCGGGTGCGATACCGGGAAGAGAGCCGCCGCGGAGAGACCGGAAAGGCAGCATGCGCCCTCCGGGAGCTGCCTCGGCGCCCAAGGTCTGAAGCTGCAGCCCCAGTTCGCCATTGTGAGCCGCCACCGGGGCTCCCGCCGGCACGACCGCCCCTCTGGGTCCCCGTCCGCGCCGCGATGGGGCACCTGCCCGCGAGCACCCGCGGCGGCCGCCGCCTCCTGCCTCTGCTCGGGCTCTTTGTGCTGCTCAAGGTAGGGAGCCCCGCACCCCGCCCTCGGTCCAGCCGGCGCCCGAGCTCGGCTCCCGGCTCTGCGGCCACGGACCTGGGCGCCCCGGGACACGAGGGCCGCGCGGCTGGGAGCGCAGGCTGTGCAGCGGGGCGCATGCTTTGTTGTCCTGGCGGGTGCGCGTGCCCCGCGCTCTTAGGGGACGTGGTGGGAGAAGGGGGAAGTTTGCTCTCTCCAGCTTTCAACCTTTGTGCTCTTTTACCCACCTCACAGGTGGGCTTGTTGGATAATGCTTCCTCTGGCAAAGTGAGGCCACTTTCCCTTCTTCTGGCCGCTACGTGCTGCGCCCCGATGCTGCCTAACCTTCCCGCCTCCCCCAGCGGAGTGCGAGCCTGCTTTGTCTTAATTTACCTTTTGCCGGGATTACACCGGGGGCGGGCGCTGAGCTCCTCGGCTGCCCGAAGGCTGCTGGGGGTGGGTCAGGAGAATGGTTTTCTTTGGAAAAAGAGTGTCAGCTTGACACTGGAGAGGACTCCTCGCTCCCTGAGAAAACCCTTTACAAAGTCTCCAGACTTTCCCCACTGTATGTATAGAGAATGACACCTCTACATTCCAATGGCAGAAAAATCGGTGTAATTTACTTTCTCGTGTTGTCTTTGGAATATCCTACTCCAGGGTTATACTTTGAGGAAAAGAAGAGGGCTGCTTAAAAAAAAAAAAAAAAAATCGAGTTTGACAACTATACTGTACATAAAAATTTAGACATTTTAGCTAGATGTTTTCTTGGAAAGTGGTGTGAAGTTATGAGGTAATTGTCTACCACTTGTGTCTTCGGTAGGGCTACTTCAGTGTTGTCCTGAGTCATTCCTGTCCATTCTCCCCAAAGCAAACTATGTCTGCTGGTCACGGGGAGCTATTCTTTCAGCACCACAAGCTATCTTCCTCAGAAATGGATGAGACATTGATGGATGCAAATATTTTCTTATCAAAGCGTCACTTCTTGCTGACATGCGCCATTGACTATGAATGCTTGACAAGGAGACTGCGGAGCAGGACCAATGGGTTGAAAACAGTGTCACTTCTAAATATTCCATATTTTCATTTATCTTAATGGAAAAATAGTTTCAGGGAGAAACAGCAACAGAGTGCATAGGGAAGATTCTAAATTACATTTACTATGTTTTCACATTGTTCTTAAGTTTAAATAATAATTTTACTTAGAATCTGGTTAATAATAATCTCACTAATACGGTTTCACTCCAGGGGTAACTCTATGCGCACACACCACAATGTATTAGAGTTAAGTTTCCTATTAATTTTTCTATCTGTCAAATTCTGTCATGACTCTTCGTATATGCAACACTTGTCATGCATCCGAAGTGAGAGATGGAGTCAACACACATTTTACTAAGTAACAGCTAAGACTTACACACATGACACCTGGTCCACATCCAACCTTTGGCACAGCTGCAGGTTTTTATTTGAATTCTCTGTAATGGGGGCAGAACCCCAGAAATGGGAGAGGGCATAGGGTGCTGCAATTAAAATCTAAAATATGTGGCAAAAGTTCAAATAAAAACTTGATATATTGGAGTGAGGAAATGGTCAATGATAACATAATGGCACCCTCAGTGACTGGGATAGAGGCTCGCCTTGTGCCATACAGTAGCTGCACTTCTGCACATATGCAGATTGATGGCAGTTATGGTAAACGTCATCACATAGTAAATACACTGATGGAGCTTGTCGTTTAAGTAAATGTTGTGATGGGACAAACAATTTTGTAAAGCTCTGCCCTTCATTTTATGTAAATGCAGTGTTTTATGTCACCTGAATACAAAGTACACCAGAGGAAGGATAACTCTGTGCCAGTCTGACATATACTGAATACACCCTATGTGCCAGTCAGCCTGATATATACTGAATACACACTATGTGCCAGACAGTCTTCCAGGCATTTCACATTTGCTATTTTATTTAATCCTATCCTATCTAATAATAGACAAAAATGGTAATTGACCATAGTTCACTACGCCTCCAATTGGCTAATCAGCACAATATGCAAATTAGCCACCAACAAAGATGGCGACTAATTTGCATACTGCAGGCAGGGCGGGACAGCGGGAGCCTCCATCTGGGCCCTGTGTGCAGCCCTGGGTGGTGGGGCTTAGGCGGTGCTAAGCCCCACCCCCTAGCCAGGACCCCCGTGTGCCGCCTAAGCCCTGCCCCCATCCAGGATCCCCATGTGCTGCCTAAGCCCTGTGCTGCCTAAACCCTGCCTCCAGCCAGGACACCATGGCGACTAGAGAGCTGGAAAGTGCTGCCCACAGGGAACACCCAGCAAGGCCTGACCCCGGGTACCCTGGTGATCCAGCAATCGGTGAGCAGGAAAGTGTGGTCTGTAGGCAACACCCAGCAAGGCCTGCTCTTGGGTCATCATGGCGATCCCAGAGCAGGAAAGGGCAGCCTGCAGGCAATCCCCATGTGTGCCTGCTCCTGGGTGGCCGTGGAGATCCATGAGCAGGGAAGCATGGCCTGCAGGCAGCACCTCACCCTGGCCACAGCTCAAGGAAGAGTACAACACACAGTGGAGGCCAGGAGCCTGAGAGATCAACAGAGAGGGGCGGCTGAGCCAAGCCTCCACAGTGTGGCTGGGGCAGGCCCCCATCAGACACACACACACACACACACACACACACACACACACACAGCCTACTCTGAGCCTCCAATGTGGCTGGGGGCAGACCCCCAGCAGGGACACACACACACACACACACACACACACACACACACACAGGACGCCTGCTCCGAGCCTCTGCTGCCAGACTGTGGCTGTCAATAGGACATCCACTCAGGGCTCCTGGACTGAGGGGCAGTCTGGGCTGAGGGAACCCCACCCCCCAGTGCATGAATTTTGTGCACCGGGCCTCTAGTTTTATTATATTTGACAAGAGATGTTCAAAGTGGCAAGTTGGGCATCTAGGGTTATGCTTCTACATTTAAGGAATAGTATATTACATGGTAAATTGGGTACATAGTATAATTTCTTTACAATTTGGAGAAACTTTTGCATTTAAGGTCCTAAATATATGTCATTAAAATAAGTTTAATATGCCGGTGGTGACAGGAACATGAAGAAAAATGCGATTATTAAATGCCATGTTGTCAATTGAATCTCAATGATAAGATCTAAAAAGGTCTATGTGTGGTAAGAAACAAACCATCCCCCCACCCCACTCCCAAATCTCTGTAGATCTCTAATGTCAATAAGTCTTTCACTTCCCAATTTGAAGTATCCTCATATAAAAATGAAAATCTCTAAAAACCACAGAGAAACTCAAGTATGAGGCTTGTGATAGGTTTATCTGTTTCACAAATTAAGTGGTAGTAAAATCTGAATATTTGAATCAGCTATAACCAATTTCATTGAGGTAGTCCAAGCATGCCTGGCCATGATGTCTTTGTCCATCATTCCTTATCCATGGCTTAGTGATGTACACATTTAATCAGGCACCTCATATCATCTAAACCAGTGGTTCTCAGCCTTCCTAATGCCATGACCCTTTAATACATACAGTTCCTCATGTTGCGGTGACCCCCAATTTCATTGTTACAAATTGAACATAATTAAAGCATAGTGATTAATCACAAAAACAATATGTAATTTACATGTGTTTTCCGATGGTTTTAGGTGACCCCTGTGAAGGGGTTGTGACCCACAGGTTGAGAACTGCTGAACCAACCACTGTATATTATAAGGTGAATATCTGCATTATCGGTGTTGCATAAGCACAATGCTGTTTATAAAAATATTAAATTTATGTCAATATTGATAGTATATATAAAAATAAAAAGCAAAAGACTTTGCTTATCAAATATACTGGGAGCCTACCAATCTTAAAATCTTCTACCCACATACAAATGCAAATGGAGTATTTATCTGCTGAGTCTCCCTCTTATGCATCTTCCCATAATTCCCCTTGAAGACAATGTAACTTCTGTCATCTATTATATCTTTACTAAACCTTTCTCTGATAATTGTTTCCTATATCAGTTCACTCTGTATTGGGATTTTGTCAAGTAAGATGAAAATGGTAGACTATGACATCAGAGGAATGTAAATTCTGCCTTCCCTGAAATGATGCTCATTAGTAGTCAACTGGAATGTTTCCCTAAACTCATGGGCTTGGCATGAATCCTTCTTTCTTTCTTAACCTCCTTTCTATATTTCTTTCCATTTCTGCTCTCACCTGACTTATAGCCAAAGAACATCAAATTTGAAAAGAAGGCCTTAATTATATTCTCTGAAAGAGGTTTATGTTTAGCATTATAATGTTTGCCATAGCACTCCTATTCAGGAGTAATATCCGCCTCCCAAGGTCTGTCTGCCTTTCTTCACTTCCATATGACCTCCTCTCTCCTTTTCTTTTTCTCCCTTACACAACTCTCTCTCTCTCACACACACACACACTTTTACATTCCTCATTGAAGGTTCATCTGCAATACTAGAGGCCTGGTGCATGAAATTGGTGCACTGGAGGAAGGGTCCCTCAGCCTGGCCTGTGCCATCTCGCAGTCCAAGATCCCTTGGGGGATGTCTGGGACCCCTCACTCCTCACCACCCTCTTGCTCACTGCTTTTTACCCCTGGGCTCGCTGTTCCTTAGCGCTGCCATGGAGGCAGGAGAGGCACCCACCACCGCTGCTGCGTTTGCCAGCTGTGACCCCAGCTTCTGGTTGAGCAGCACTCCTCCTGTGGGAGCACACTGACCACCAGGGGGCAGCTCCTGTGTTGAGTGTCTGCCCCCTGGTGGTCAGTATGTGTCATAGTGACTGGTCGTTCTGCTGAAATGGTCACTTAGGCTTTTATTATATAGACTAGAGGCCCAGTGCACAAAATTTGTACACTGGGGGGTGTCCCTCAGCCCAGCCTGCACCGCTCCAATATGGGACCCCTCGGGGGATGTCCGACTGCTGGTGTGGGATCGGGCCTAAACCGGCAGTCGGACATCGTTCTCACAATCC